TAAAAGTTAAACATTCTAAAAATAGAATTATTAGCAAAAACCAACAATACCAACAACCACATGATCAAGTGAATTGCAGCGGAATAGCTGCGCTTGATTGTGTTGGCATAACTAAAATGAAAATAATGGAAAAAAGCAAACGATAATTTACAAGGCGTACTTAGCACGGTGCATAGGCAACTGGCTGAGTCAGTGGGATCGTCGGTTCGAAGCCTACTGAAAGAAGTCTGATGAGGAAATGTGGTGATTTGCGAAATAGCTATCACTTATACCATTTTTTCAAATTATTGTTGCTTTTCCACAATAAATTTTCATTAAAAAACGGCCTCGAAAAATTGTTGAATATATTATTTTATTTTAAATTATACCTGGCCTAGCCTTAAGCCTGCATTTTTAATATCAACATAGTAATGTTTTTGAAAATGTATTAACAACCTGAGTTCCACTCTATCTCTTGTACTATAAAAGATTCAAAATATTACTGTACTAATTTTCTTGTTCAATAAATGACAAATGACAAATAATATTATTAGGTTCTTAGGCTTATCCAATGGCTGGCAAATTGGCACATAAAAGTCAACGAACAGCTCCCTGACAAACAAAAAGTTTGCAGGTAAAAGTGTCACCGTTTTTGAAATATTTACATTTTTTGAATTAAAAAAAAAATCGTGCCTTTTCATGTATTTTCTTTAACTGCATCTACAAACCCGGCTATACTTAGTAAATTTTGTATGTAAAATACTTCCAGATTGTTGCTTCTCCATACTCAAATGCAATGTAGTTAAAATATATTAAGGAACCATCATAAAATTAGCACTTTTTTGGGATTTTTAATTTTTGATATTTTCTTCCCCAACTTTGACTATCTCTGGTGAAAAAAAATGTACTGAGCTATAAAAAAATTGCTCGTTTAATAAAGTTTTCAGAAAGGTGCCACTCTTACTGTTTCGAATAGAAAAAAAAGTTACAGCCGCTTTTGTGGGTAAAGGACTGAGACACGCTAGAATGTATTTAATAGATTTAAATTTAAGTTGCTCTTGTTACCGACCAATGACATGCTAAATAGTACAAAGGTACATTATTACCTGCTCCTGACATTATTTTATGTTACTTACCGGAATTAGTGAAAGTGAATTTTGTGAAATTGGACCCTTCGAATATTGTATTATTAATACTATGACAGAGAACACGCAGTATACGTCGCATGAGTATGCGGATATTCACCTAATTTACGGTGAAGCTTGCTTTAATGCCAGAGCTGCTCAAAGACCCGAGCGATACCCCAATCGTCGGCATCCGGGTCGTGAAGTATTCGCCCGGACCCATAGAGAAATATATGAAGGTAAGTGATTTTTAGACCTTTCTTGTTTGCTTGCTTATTAACTATCATTTTTCACTTTTTTTAGGTCGCATACCTGGAAGGCGTGGCGGCGAAACAGGACGTCCTGCAACGGTAGATGTTGAAGTTGTGTTAGAGGAAGTGGACCTAGGTCCATCGACTTCAGTGAGAATGATGGAAAGACGGACGGGAATACCAAAAACTACAGTTCACAAAGCTTTAAAAGACCATCGATTTCATCCCTACCACATTCATCGTGTTCAGGCTCTACAAGAAAGAGATTACCTGCCGAGTCTTAGATTTTGCCGCGAAATGTTGCGAATGCACGAATCAGACCCCAACTTTTTTAATAAAATAATTTGGAGCGATGAATCATCATGCAAACGTGATGGTTATTTTAGTTTACATAGCCTTCACAGTTGGCAGATAGACAATCCTCACGAAATGAGAGAAGATCGGTCGCAGTACCGGTACAAAATAAATTTATGGTGCGGTATTTTTAATTGCCAGATATTGGGACCTGTGGCAGATAGACAATCCTCACGAAATGAGAGAAGATCGTTCGCAGTACCGGTGCAAAATAAATTTATGGTGCGGTATTTTTAATTGTCAGATATTGGGACCTGTGGAACTGCCACCTTTAGAGTTCCTTCAGGAACGGCTGCCAGCTCTTTTAGAAGATGTACCTTTAAACCTGCGGCGAAGACTATGGCTGCAAAATGACGAGTGCCCTGCTCACTACGGGCGTGAAGTAAGAGCTCATTTAGACGAAACTTAAGCAGGGATCACACGATTTGTACATTTGTACACAAAATGCCAAATTTGGATTTGTCCACATTTGCGCATTTGGATAGCGATGTACAAATTATTTGTTTTGTGATCAGACGATTTGGCTGCCAAAGATCCAAATGATTTGGCACACATTTGCGCACAGCAGTAAAGTGACAAATATCGTCCACATTCATTCACACGATTTAACCATTTGGTCATAAATACTTAAACAGCTGATCCGGTGTCAACCATACTGTTGCATTTATGTTTTCGTGAGATTTGAAGTGAAATAAACAAAAAAAATATATACGCACAGGTACTCAGAATTTTAAATACACCCTCAAAATCTGGGCTGAAGGTAAGAAACGCGTTCTTCATAGGTTGAAGCATATACTTGCTCGTAACTTTATTTCTGTTTGCCCGATGAAAAATACTTGCATATGCCATTTAAGAGAAAACATTTCGTTGTTTACAACCATTTATAAATGTCTTGAGAATGGGCACCCCATGTATGTATACTAATTAACAAAATAGTCGGACAAGTCGTAATTTAAAATGAAAAAATTTAAATTTTGCATATCGATGGCTTAGTGGAAGACCGACCTATCTCGGAAGCCAGTTAAAAAACGCCCTGTCTCTGAAAGTTTTTCAAGAACGCCATACTTCAAAGTTTGATTGAAAAACGCCCTATTTCTGAATTTGGTTGAATAGCGC